GTAAATCGTTCGCACTCATGCAATCAGACTCGCTTTCATTCACACTTTACATGCATGCAAACAGTAGCGCAGCAAACTGGCAGCATGCGCCCACTCAGTACTCAGCGACATGACAACCCAGATACGAGTTCACTTTCAATGGCTATGGCGACACAGCGCCCAAACAACTCTCTGTTCGCATACACTGGATCACCCTGGATATCCCACACGCGATACTATGCTCACTCTCACACACACACACACCGAACTCTAACTACAGCTATGGCGGCGATGGCCGCCGCTACCCTATCGCTATGGCTAAGCTTCGTCTCTCTGCCCACTTCGTCTTCGGGCTCACTGCGGACCTCCTTGCACAAGTCGCTGTGGCAGCGCTTCCGCATGGCTCACGCAGGAATGAATGAATGGCTGGGSGCTGCCTCTTGATTTATACTTCTGCAGCTCGTTGGTCTGGCCCTTTACCATGCCCGAAGTGCACACAGTCCCATGCGGCACGTGGTTGACTGGACCAGGACTGCCTAGGACTGGGACTGCTGACTCAGCACGTGTAGACTCCACCACTTGCCTCACCACTTGCCCACTTGCCTCAGCCTAAACATGGAACACCCCGAAAGGCCACTACTCGGACCTTCCGGAAGGCCGTAGACTTGGCCTTTCGGTCCTATAGCAGCTACGACCTTCACCCTTCTGGACTGTAGCAGCTACGACCTTGACTCTTCGAGAAGGCTATAGCTACGACTTGTAGACCTCACTGAGACTCCTACCCGACAGGTCTACAGATCGAACCCTTGCTACCTATGGACCCTATGACAACCTACCAACTGTTACAAATACACAGGTCACGGGTTCAACTCTAGGGGTCGACACAAGTACTGTACACAGGTAAGGTGGGGGACTAGGTATCGAGCCCTGGGATCTGCATCAGCTACTGCGAACTGGTGAATACCGTTTCACTCATTTCCTTGCACAAATAATTCGTTGTGAAGAATCTTCTGGAATGGGGAAAGAGAGTTCAGTCGGTGCAAGGAATTGCAAGTTGCCTGTCACTGAACTCAATATTGGAGAAGTAGGTAAGGCTGCAGAGGCAGTTCCGTTGCACTTGGAGCAGATGGAGAAGGAGAAGGAAGGAAGGTCGAGACAATCCAAGGAAGTGAGGAGGGCAGAACACACCTCCTGGGTTGAAAGTTGACTTTCGATGGCAGATAGATTGTCCATCATCGAAACCAAAGTCTCCTCTTACAAATTGGCTTTGATGGCAGCTAGATTGTCCATCATCGAAACCAAACCCTCCTGTCTTGCAGATTCCTTCGATATTTTTGTGAGAGTTGTTAATCTATGTTTTGCTCCGTACTCCTACTCCCACTACTCCTACTCCTACTTCTACTGCTACACCCCATTCCTATGGAGGTCCTCTACGGCTGCATCATCCCAAGCCAGTAGCCCCAAGAGAAGACCGGCTACACCTCCAAAGGTGCAGTCCTTGCAGCTTGTGGCGCAGGGCACACCGTAACTTCTGATGCTAAAGTGACTGCAGGTCTAGGCCAGCAAAAATCGAGAAACCCCGAGACAGTCCAACCTGAAACATTCACTGGGGATAAACCCAAAGTGGATGTAGCAGATTGGACTGCCTCGATGAGATGGTACCCCAAGGAACTCACTTGCCCAGAGGTTACCAAGGTGCAGTCCACTGTGGCCCGTTTGGGAGGGCCTGCACTTCAGTGGGCTACTTCTGACGCCAATAAGGCCCAGAAACAGCTGGCCGACTGGGCTGTTACAACAGGATTGGACCAGATATTTAAGGGTCTGGAGGAGAGATTTGCTAATCGAGAGGGAGCCAAGCAAGCTGCTGCAGAGCTTGTGAGCTTAGGCCAGTCACAATCGCAGGGATTCCTCTCCAAACTCTACGCAGTTTGGGAAAGGCTAACCTCTACCCCTGGGTTATCAATGTCGGACCAGGAGAAATTGAAATTGTTTATCCAGGCTACCCCGATAACGTATGTACAAACCCTATTTACTGCAGGTCACAAGGACTGGAGGGCCTTTGGCAAAGCAGCCGTGGATCTGGAGGCCAAACTCCAAATCCAGTCCACTTCCCAAAAGAGAAGCACCTCCCCTTCTCAGAGTCAGAGGAAGAGTAAAGGGAGGTAGTACGTGATGGAGTCTGAGGAAGGCCCTGTAGTCTTTGGCCAGACAGGATCGATTCCCTCAGCTGGTCAAGGTGCAGGAGGCTTCCCACATCAGGCTTTTTTTACTTTGGCTCAGAAACAATTGAGCGCTATCAAGGGCAACAATCAGATTCAGAGACAAAGGTCCCCCTCTCCTAAGGGGTTTGGCAAACTTCCCAGTAGGCCGCAGAAACAGAACCTGCCCAAGTTTGCCAAATGTCCAGCTAACCCCATGGATCCTTCCTCTCTCCCACGGAGAGACTTGCGTATCCCAGACGGGCTATGGCGAAAGAGGAAGGATGCCGGTGTATGCCTCAGATGTGCTGGGCAACTCTTTGTCAAGTATTGCCCTTCATGGGCAACCACTACGCTGTAACCCATCCCAGTCAGCAGTGGATTCTGTTGAAGTGAGTATCCTTTTGCTGAAGAAGGATTAGGTGCAATTTGATTGTTCGTAACCTACTTGTGTGTGTGTTCAACTAATGGAAACCTCCTCCTGGTACAGCTACCTTGAGCCTGATTCCTTCACTGATCCCATTGATTTGTCTGCGCATCCCTTGTGCTTGAGAACGAGTACTCTCAAGTTTGGGGTGATCCCATTTCTCAACACCGCTGATGGAGAGACCGCAGTCTGACAAGGATTTCACTGTGGATTTCGCTGAATCCTTGTCTGACTAATCCTATGTGTATGCTTTGAGCTGTATTCATTGTTGGAGGAAGTTCATGTTCTCACACTGAACTGCACTCATTGGATGGATGACCTGTGTTTGAGAGAGAGTATGATTAGTACAGATCTTACCTCAAATTCTCCTACACAGTCCTAAGTTTTGCTCTCTCGGGTAGAAATCAGATTTTCAGTGTTTCTCTGTAGTCGCACACTTGTAGCGACAGTGTTCTGAATTTTACCTATAGGGTTGCAAATTCCTTTCAACCACTGGGCTTCGTCCTAGTAATGTCTCAGCCCGTTGGCCAGGGTCAAATCTGTTTGTGATTGAACTTTCTACTCAGATAGACCTATCCGACACATGACTCTGTCAGTTCAAGCATTATTGCTGAATATGGTCAGGCTTAGCCCCATATACAGATCTTGTCAGATCCAACCCTTTTCTTGGGAAGAATCTGCGTATCACGCTTGCAAATAAACAGGTCAGCAGTTGAGGAGTCTAACTGATATCCAGTCCTGACAGAAATTAAGTAGATTTTCAGAATTAATGGATTATAGCAAAGTTGATTACTAGTCTAACACCCTTGCATTCAACTAGACAGTTTATGATGTTAATCTAAACCTCAATAATCTGATTTTCAGGATGTTGTTAGGTATCTATAAGCTGATTACCAGGCTAATACCCTTGCATTCAGCTAGCCAACACTGGCTGATAATCTGAACTACAACCCGTAGATTTTCAGAAGCTCATTAGTTGCCTAGAAGTCGAGTACCTGGCTAATACCCTCGTATTCAACTAATCAATCTAATCTGATAATCTCAACCTTCTGAGATTCTGAGGGCTTTGCGTTCTCCACAACTATGGACGTATAGCTACCCTCTACTTCTGAGTACCTGGTTATGCGATCCTCTACTTCTGAGTACCTGGTTAGGTAGCTCGTGGGTCCTCGCTCCCCGGGAGGGTAAGAATGCAAGAAATCGCAGTTTCCCAGTGGGGCTGTACACCAAAGTGTTTGGCTTTGTAGTTTGTTTTCTTGTTTTGAGCCTTGCGGGACTTGATCCCGTGACCTGTAACTCGTGTGTTTTGTTTGTGAGTGTTGTGCCCTATGGGACTTTATCCCTGAGACTGGCACTTGTAGTCTCTGTTTGGTAGCCTTAAGGCCATTCGGCTTTTTCCTTTTGCCTTGTCATAGGTCTACGTCCCCTTTTCCCCCTGTTTCCATCTAGACACAGATGAGTCTTGGGTTGTTGCCTTTGGAGTCCGTCGTAGGTCTAGGCAGAGGGTAGAAGTAGCGGGGAGGAAATTTGGTTTGGTCTTTTTCACGTTTTCGTTGGCTGGGGAAACTCTGCCCGTCCGTTGCTGGAGCGCTGCTGCTCTATTTTGGGCGAGGTAATCTTCTTCCTCGAAGCCCAGTTTCGCGGCCTTGCATGAGAGCTTCCAAAGGACTGTGTTGTTGGGTTTCGGTGCTGCCATCTTCCACTTGGCAGCCATATCTGCTGTTCCTCCTCTCGAGGAACTTTGTCTTCTTCGAAGTGCTGGATCAGTTATCTCCTGTGTTNTCCTCTCGAGGAACTTTGTCTTCTTCGAAGTGCTGGATCGGTTGTCTCCTTCTTCATCAGGACTTCCAGCGCTGCACTTCCGTCCGGGTGCTGAGCTGGCGCTGTTATCATTAGGGTTGCTGGTTCAGATTGGCACGTTGTGACAGGTGTGGGGTTACTGCTGCTACGGCAGCCATAGCCAGGAGTACGAGGTGGCAAGGAGGAAGMAGAAGACTCCTGCATACTTTGTTGAACACTTGTTTCTGGTTGTTCGGGGTTGTTGTAAACGCGGTTGTGATTCTTGGAACAAGTACTCTGGATTGAGTGGAGGAGGACGAGGGATTGCAGAATTGAAATTCGTTTTTCAATTCTCTGTGTAGTTTGAGCTTCAGCTGTGCATATCTTCTCTCCGGTTTCGTGTGGATTTGCCTCCTTCGAGTCTACTCTGCAATTGCATGCGTGTATGGGAACGTGTAAATTCGTTGTGGATTGAAGTTCAATCGGGTACATAACAAACAGACAGAACATGAGAGAGAGAAGAGTCAAGCGCGCCGGAAGTTCTGAGGGAAAATGTATTGCAACCCGGCTTCCTAATCGAATTTCATCTCCAAGAAACACATTACAACGCCTGATACCTTTCTTGCCCCCGTAATGAGGAGCTGTGTCCCAGAATTCTTCTCGCATTCGCTTTATCTCCGCACGGGTAATCGGCATCTCCTGCTTCCATGGTCTCGGTTTCCGGATCCGCTTGCCGCGGGGCTCTGCCAATACCCCAACAATCAAATAAAACCAAGGCAGAGGTCTTAAGATTTTCAGACGACAAATGACCAACCATTCCCTGCCGCCTCCCCCCCCCCCCCCCCCGCCCCCGCTCCCCACCGAGTGAAAAATACCCCACATCCCCACGAACAACGTGCTGCATTTCAAATAGGTCGGAGCAATTCAAAAAAGAAAAACAAAAGAACGTATTTATATTTTATATCGCATCGTCAAACAGAGCTGCCTGGTAAACTGTAGGCAGAGAGGGAGAAGACAACAAACGAGGGGCTGTGACAAACTGTCTCGTCGAAGTTTCACGGACTGATCAGAAGGCTGAACCCTCAACAGTATACAGAATCCCCTAACTGATTACACTAAGTGATAATCCACCTTAACCCAGGTTGTGGTCAAGCATCGACCACTGCCCGACAACTAATACCCTGAGGTATATCGTGAAACAGAACTGCCTGGTAAACCGTCGAGAGGGAGAACAGGACAACAAACGAGGGGCTGTGACAAACTGTTTTGTTGGAGTTTTACCGACTCATCTGGAGGCTGAACCTTCGAAAGTCTGCAGAATCCCCTAACTGATTACACTGTAAATGATAATCCACCTTAGTAGTGTACATATATATTGTCAAACAGAACTGCCCAGTAAACCGTAGGCAGAGAGGGAGAAGAGGACAACAAACGAGGAGCTGTTTCGTCGGAGTTTCACTGAGGCATCAGGAGGCTGAACCCTCGACAGTCTGCAGATTCCCCTAACTGATAACCCACCTTAACCCTTGGTGTGGTTGAGCATCAAAGACTTCCCAACAACTGATACCCTGAGGTGGGCAAAAAGCACTGCCCTCAAGGTACTTCTGACGAAATTCAAAGCAGACTATCACTCACCCACACCAGATGGAAAACTCTACAGACTGTCGGTTCCCACCCCATCACAAGCCAGCAAAACACCCACGAAACAAAAAAAAATCGATCACAGCCAGAAAATACACTCCAGACACGCCACTGGCACTAGAGGCCCAGCATGGCCGCATAGTGAAGGCCCCGACCACAGACGCTCAACCTGACCCGAGAAAACCATAGCAGGGAGCTATCGAGATCGTGGTATATATATTGTCAAACAGAACTGCCTGGTAAACGATTGGCAGGTACTAGAGGAACATCATGGCCGCCTAGTGACGGCCCCGACCACAGACGCACAACCTGACCTACGAATCCCCCACGGAGGGGGACGTGGGCGGCCGCGGCCCCGTGGTCATGGCCGTGCGGTCGTGCAAATTTTTGGCCACGGGGCAGCCCGTGGGGCAGGGGGTTGGGAGGCAGCTTGGGGTTGCGCAACCCCAGCCCCACCACCTCAAAAAAAAAAGACAAAGGAAAACAAAACAATTTCTGGGGGTGGGGGTATTCGTTATGAATGACGATAAAAAAAAAAAAAATACGTAACAAAAAACAACTGCGCATTTTTTTTTCCTCTTTTTTTTTTTCCGTTGATTGATTGATTGGTGCGGGAAGGGTCGCCCATCCCCCGCCCCACGCCTCCCCCCCCGTGTGACGATGCATATATGAGTCGGTGAAATTTCCACGAAACAGTCTGTCACAACCCCTCGTTTGTTGTTTTCTCCCTCTCTGCCTACGGTCTACTGGGCAGCTCTGTTTTACCATATATATATATCGTCACAAATAGAACTGACCGGAAAACCGTAGGCAGAGAGAGAGAAGAGGACAACAAACGAGGGGCTGTGACAAACTGTTTCGTCGGAGTTTCACCGACTCATCAGGATATATATAT